CCCTGCGGGATGCGCCATGCATTCCTATCCATTCGTAGCGTCGTTCGAGGTGACTGAATACCTATCTGGCCTTTACAGAGTGACTCACGGTGACCTCACGATGTGTCGAGTCACTACTGCTCAACCTCCCGGACAAGTCTGCAACCAGTCCGATACCAGTTCACCGACCCCGGCGAGATGGACAGTTGGCGAGCCAAGAGCGCGAGATCGAACATCGACCTTGCGCGCGACGCAGGGCACCTCTAGCCGCTGCGCCACAGGCGCTCCTGGTCAATCTGATACGACAATAAAAAATGATTGACGTCGAGTTGTTGACACGTCGTGAAACGAAAGAAATTCAATAGGGAAAAAAGAGAGAAAAGAAAAAAAAGAAAAAGAAGGAAGGCAGGAATCGACACGGCTCTTTGCAGTTGTCGCACGCCATTCATTCTGTCGTGTTCGTACACGTTTCAGTCGAAGATGATTGAGAGGATTCGAGATGAAAGAAAGGATTAGAAGGCCTCTTCTTTCACCCCAGCTCTCATTTCAGTCATTTTGACATAAAGGTTATATATGCTGTGAAAACTAACCATCCATTAACTTCAACAGCAGTTCGATCGATACTGTCTGAAGACGTGTAGGGGAAAAAAAAGAAGAAAAAGACAGAAAAGACTGAGAGATCGTGAAGAAAAAGAGACAACGAGAAGGGGAACGACTGCGGAGAATTGACTCGAATCATCGGCTCTGGAAAAGATGAAGGCAACGTCGAAACGTCAGGCGAAAAATTCATTCGGTCGATCTCATTGTGTTAGCTGGTTCGGAAAAGAAGCTAGTCATGATCTGTAATGTCAAGATCAAAAGACACCCGGTTCCCAAAGTGATTTGAATTCAAGTGATGAACCCGGGTACATTGCCATGCCACCTGAGAACGACGTCAGCGTCGCAGAAGAAAGCGCGCTCCACTGAGGCGCTGTCGCGAGGCGGCATAGCGCAGTGGTTAATGTTGTGGCATATTAGAAAGCGAGCTGTCAGGAGAGGTGTTGGTTCGATTCTCCGCCTCGAACGCTCCCTTGCAACTATTCAGCTGAATGCATAGGGCTTACAGCCACCGGCAACCAAGCCAAGATTGCAAATCGGGACTTGTTTCAATCAGCATTGTTCGATATTTATGAAGAAAACGACATAACTTTCTAGCGGTTGCACGAAGATGCACAGGTGGTGCAGTGGTTAGCACGCCCCCCCCCCCCCCCCCCTTCCCCCACTCGCGAAAGGGTAAGACGCTGGTTGAGGTTCAGCGTTCTGCATATCAGGTAACGTTATCAGATATATAGTTATAACGATGTTCATGAGGAGCGGATGGGTTTGAATACCCCATTCACGCTTAACGGAACGACAATCTCCGAATGCTCCAGTTACGTCTATCTAGGTCGGGAAGTCAACATGATGAACGACCTAGCTCCAGAATTGAGCAGGAGGAAACGAGCGGCTTGGGGAACGTTTGAGAGCATCGAAGATGTAGTGAGGAGGAGAAAGAACATCCGACTCCGTGCCCACCTTTTCGACTCGACAATTATCCCTTCCCTGACGTAGGCAGCAGAAACCTGGTCGCTACGTAAGCAGGATGAAATATTATCGAATGCGCAGTAGAAAGGTCGATGCTAGGAGTATCCCGTATCTCGCAAATGAGAGAAAGGATCCGAAGTTCCGACCTACGTAAACGATCGAAGATCAAACACGCCGTTCTGCTCGCCGCCAGGACATCGAAAATAAGGTGGGCCCGACACGTGATGCGCTTCAACGACAACCGATGGACGAGAGCCGTTACCGACTGGATTACTCGGAACATCAAGCGCTATACAGGAAGACCACTGGCCGCTTGGTCTGATTTCTTCACGAAAGCTATAGAAGAAAGATATGATCGTCAGCGAATCCCTAGAGCGAGGAGGACCCACTGGGCTACTCTTGCATGCGATAGGAAAAAAATGGAAGTGTTGTTGGTACCCGCTCGAGTCATTCGACGATTAAGGGGACGACAGGTGACACAGCTGATAGTTATGACATCATATCTATGCTGAAATAGAAGTGAACCGGTTGACTTCCGCGGACCCTAACCGGGCGTGTCCACCAGGGAGAGAACGGCTCCACCTCCTCTGTTGCGACTAGTCGCCGACTACACTTCTGCTTCCCATTGCATGACCCAGTTTAAAATCTCACTGTGCGTCATGCAACGAAAAGCAGTACTGTAGACGGTGACTAATCGCGGCAGAGGAGGTGGAGTCGCTTCCACGCTGGCGAACACGCCCAGTTAGGATCCGAAGAAGTCAACTGGTTAAATAAAAATTCTTGACAAATACGAAGACTCGAGCAGCAGCCGAGGCAAAACGTGGAAATATTGGAAGGCGTTCGTGAGAGGACGACGTGCGAGGAATTGGATCGATTTCAGAAAGTGGTGGCATCCTCACATTGAACACGATGATGGGTCCTCTTGAATTAGAAAATAAGTATGACTTAGTGCAGCTTACGAGAACGTGGCTGAGCGGTTGTGATGCTCGTCGCGGCGCGCGTGGAGTGAGCTCCACGTCCCTTCTCTCTCTGGCAGTCAACAACAACGCCATATGGAACGCCACAGCTAGGCTATCCTCGAGATTGCAGGGAGACTCGCTCAACCAGTATTCTACGACGTTCAAGAAGTAGACAAAACAGCGAATTCAACAATAGAAGTACTGGGATCCACACAGTGAAAAAAAGAACACTGTGAAGAAGGATCGATAAAGTAGACTAAAAAGTAATGACTTAGTGTAGTTTACATTCGTGGTGTTCAATTTCAACTGCATCATTCACTACAGCTGATGCATAGGCGGTGAATAACATTCTGTGCGTATTTCATAGATAAGATAACGAAGCGCTTAATACAGTGATCTGTGGTGCTACCTGACTATATGCACGAGACCTTCGGTGCAAACCAGCACCCCAAGCCCAGCACGCTCAGTTCATCCCTTTCAGTTGACAAATCGTTACCACCAGACCTGTGTGGGAGGGTAACAGCGCTGATTTTATGCACCATTAGGTTACCGCAAGTCATTTTTTCATAGAACGGATGGTTCTAACTTATCAAGTTAGCACTTATGAAATTTTCCATGAACTCCTACTTATTAACTCGATGATGGGAGCGGGTGGCCCAGTGGTGAAGGTGCAAGATAGCAGAGGAAAAATTGATCAGCGATACTCCCTCCCCAATACTCTCTTGCCATCAATCAACGAACCCCTTAGGAGATGCCTTAGCTCAGCTACTTGAGGGTTGCAAAAAAAATTGCCTCGATTAGCATTCTACGATAATTATGATGAGCACAAAATCATTAAGAATCAGACGAAACAACGAGGAAATTTTCGAAGGCCCATTAGAGGAGCTTGAATGCGCCAAAATGAATCGAATGCAGGACTGCTGCGATCAGCACAGTGAGTTGTGATAACGGGATGTGCAAAACAGATAAACATTGGTCAATAGCAATAAGAAACAAGCACACCTCTGCAATTAGGATTTTTTGCCTTATGGACAGGATCTAAAAAAATATTCGTTTGTAATTTCATCAATATAATTTAAAAAACCGAAAACAAGCAAAATGTAGGTATATCGGACTGCTTTGAATGTATACTATCGCAATTGCTGATTATATTGTGTGTTCTACATTCAGCACACCAATACTTGTAGGCATGTCTGGCCTTTTGTAGGACTGCCTGTGAAGAAGACTATTCTGGGATATTTGCCCCAAATAATGGTCACCTATGTAATTCAGATATAGGTCAGTTGTGACTTGCGCAAACCGATCCGACAGCAAGTTTGATTGAAAAGAGAGAACTTGAAAGCCCAGAGAACGTTTACAGAGTGGATACCTTTTCAAAGAAGGATAGGCAGGCAGGTAGGCATTTAACGTTCGGAACTTTTATTTCCTTCCGGAAGATCTCTGACATCGAATTGTCCAAGCAGAAAGCTATGACAAGAAGAAAAAGGCGTGGCATCTAGCACGACGTCGTGGGAGTATATGATGTATACATATCGGAGATATATACATACAGATATAGGAGTACATATCGGAGATTACGACCTGCCCGACTTTCCAGTCCAAACTCATCGGGAGTTAGATATTGTTTGACACATCTTGGTTGACAGTTAAGAACTGGACTCGGGTTCTCAACAAGGCACTTGATCTTAGTTCTACGAACATGGGTACATGGTCATACTTGATAGTCTACTTTACCTCCTTTCTTTTGACCTCTTATGTATGTGAACTTTTGGCTACAAAACACGTATGCGTGAAGTTATAGTTAAGTATGACAATAAAAAGGATGAGAATTCCAGAGATCATCATTTCTGAAGAGTTCGTCATATGCATGTAAGAGTAATGAGGAGCATACAAGATATAGCACGGTGATGCCATGTGCCCACGGTATGGGTGGCAGGGGATCAACTCTCGGCTGGAATTGAGTGTTTTGAATCTACAACTCAATACTTTCAAATGCTTATTTATAACATCGTAAATCTGCTAAGAAGCAGTAAAAATAAAGAATTATATATCTTGTACATTTCGAATAGTTGCCAGCTTCACTGAATGTAATGTCGATTTGCCTATCGGATCAAGGTCGTCGAAAAATGGTTGCCGCAAACCGTGGTAGGTAACAAAACCTTTCAATCGACTATTTTGAGACCTCCCTCAAAAACGATCTGATAACTATTTTGAGCCATTAATGAGGTCTGTTACGGTCCTTATAGAGTGCTGGATACGGGTACGGCTTTCTAGAATCATCGTAACATCAAGTGTAAAACCTTCGTCGTCGGTTCCTTTTTGTAGGGTAGATGTACCGAGGGACTGACTGAACGAAAAGGCATCGTGCTACTGATGAGGCTGGACGGCCGAAACACGTATCTTGAACTGAGTAAGCTTAATAACAGACATTATGAGAGGTTCAAAATATGTTATCACCTGTAATAGGTTATATCGAAGAAAGAGAGGTAGAAAGGCGGTGGCCTCTATGGTGTTATAGTAGCACGTGCCTCCGGTATTGGCGAAACGCGGGTTCAACTCCCGAGTAGGGTCGAATGCTTTGCATACTACTCAGTACTCCTAGATACATATTCAAAACATCACAACACTGCTGAAAACAGCAAAAAGAAATAATTTACATTCCTTTTCAAAGAATGCGTATAGATATGTCACACATTCGACAACAATAGCCATTGCTAGAGATGACTGATACAATATTCGGTTGCATTCGTGTCTTCACGTTTGACATATCGGAAAGTTTTCCCGTAAACGGTTCTTTCTACAATGGTTTTTATTCAAATGTTATGTGTCCGGTCAATCCGCTTCTTGGTAGTTTCTCGCACAGAACAATGTCTTTGATTTTCGATCATTGACATAGGTTATAACTTCGTTTTCCATTTCTCATTTGCGATAAAGAGGATCCTCCTAGATTGTCAATTCCACCGTGCTTTCGAGAACGCAAAGTGATGTTTCATCGTCTTACGAAGTGATCACATTTCGATACGAAAGCAAAACAGGAAGAACAGTGGAGTCGAAAGTTTGGGCATAAAATAAGGTGTTCTTTGCATTCTTCGCTGTATCGTAGATGCTTCTAAAAGCTTTTCAAACTATTCACTTTCAAACTACTCACTTCATCCTGCTTGACACCGGAGCCACAGCGCTCATCATACCGATTATACTACCTGGACAGACGTAGCTGGAGCATTAGGAGGTGGCCATTCCACCGAGCATGAATGGTGTATAGGAAACAAATTCGTTCCTCATGGACAAGGTTTTAGTGATATTAGTCAAGATCTTTCTATAAGCGTTGTCAAAAACCGGCCAGTATTTGTTTGATTGTTGAGCATCAATTGCCGCTTTCATGTTGTCCCACTCTCATATTCACATGACGTTTATGAGGGATGGCAGTAAATAATTTTGATGAGATGGTATCGTCTCGTCAAACCGCTCTTTCTGCGCATATATATCGCTGGAAAATGGTGCCATTTTGATTTATGTTTATACTGACGAAAAACTGATAAATATATATATATATATATACATGTATATATATACATGTGTATGTACATTTACGTATACATTTATAATTACATAAGTATATATATATATATATATAATTCTTGATTTTCTTCTTTGAGCAGAACACGAGGTGTTACATTAAACTTTATTCGATAGCTGACGTTTCGGCAGTTCGCCTTCTTCAGAGCCTGGAAAGGTCAAAATGTTTGCAATACAATCAGTCAAACACCTCCATTACTTCTTTAGAGAAATTCACCAGACCTAGATTTCAATCGCATCAAGCAAAAATCAACACTTAACATACTCATCGCTTTTTATATGTGTTCCACTGGATGATCCAAGTGGAGATCACCGGCAAGAGAGACACATAGGCTCGTAATGCACCCTACCCATCAAAACAACAGTCTTATATACTGGCTCATATCACGAGTGTTTACAAGGCATTCCTCCCTGCGGTTTATGGTTGGATTGGTCGTATTAATCCAAAATGCTTCCAAGATCTTTCGCGCTGATGTTTTTTGCTCCTGCGCAAGGATGGTGACTTCGATTTCAAAATCAACTCCGTCGTGCTTCTGTGCTCTATGCGTCCCTAGCGGGGTGTTTTGCCTATTAAGACGCTTGTCAGCTAGGTGTTCTTCTATGCGTGCATAGAGCGTCCTACCCGTTTCGCCAACATATTTATCACTACACGCTTTGCAAGAGATTAGGTAGACTGTACCTACGCTCATGCAATCACCGTCTCTGCCGTTAGGACATATTTTACAATCATTCATCATACAGAGACGGTCATATAAGCGGTTGCGAACTAGTTGGCGTTTTAGAGTATTCGGTGGTATTTCAATAATGGCCACCGATTGCTCTAAGCCCGCTCTTTTCAAACATCGTTTTATAGCTGTACTAATCTCACTTGAATAGAACGGGATGATAAACGGGACTTTCCTTTCAACTAAGTTTTCGTTCGGAGGCGCATTATTTCCTCTAAACCTAAGCCGAGGGGTTACGAATTCGTATCCATTAGAAGTGGCTATTTCCCGCGCCAGTTTCACGGATTCTACTCTCTGCTCCTCCCCGGTACATACATTGGCTGCTGTTCGAAACATGTTTTTTACTAGCGCCTTCTTTGTATGTGAGGGATGAGAAGAGAGATAGTGAACCAAGATATTCTTACTATACTCTTTACTCTTTACTCAACACACATATATATATATATATATATATGTGTTGAGTAAAGAGCCCTGAATTTGTGAGAGTTTCAATGAATACCTTTTCCTCAACTGATTAAAAAGCCTTCTTTGAGACAGTGAAATAGAGGCTGGAATACCTTTTGTGAATGTGGTTTTTCGTAGGCAATCCCTTTCGAAGTCTTTTGTTTACATGGTGATCCTTCACTCAATCTTCTGCCAATCCTATTGCGAATGAAACATGTTTTTGCGTCCAACCATAGCAATGAAATCTCTATCGACGATCTTGAAAAAACGCGTGGTCTTATTCTGGAACTTTCCGTTTTCCGCTCTTCTCCGGTATTATATAAACCGTCAAATGACTGGCGTTTTACCATCTGAGAATTTCTGATAATGGACCTTTGCACACTAGCTATTATATCAGGTCGTTCCATAAGCTTCGGCACCAAAGCAATAAACACCACATTTGTTAGCCAGAACTGATTGAAATTGTACGGTTTTAATATCGTTCAATTGTGCTTCTTGCAGAAAATTTGGTACACACCTTGTCTATACTTGCTTTGAGGTGGAGCTGTCTTGGAAACAAAATTGGCTTGCTACTCATGAACGAATGGCGAATAGGGATTGCTAGTGAAGCTGCGTGCAAGATCAATGAAGCTTCTTGTGGACGGCGCGAAAACGAGTGAGCCTCCAAACTGTTCTCTCTAGCTTCGAACTTCGCAAACCACTTCCTAGCCGTTCTTTCTGTAATTGTGTCATCGCTCCAAGTACCTTTAACATTATGTGTCGTTTAGCTAGCATTTTCCCATACACTTCATTCGTTCATGAGTAGAGAGTGAATTGTTCCCACGATAGCTCCATCATAGAGCATGCATAGGCAAATTGTACACCAAATTGTTCGTAAGAAAGTGCGCAATTCAACGATACTCAAATCATGCAGTTTTAATCACTTCTGGTTAATGAAATTGGCTTTTCTTGCCCAGTGCCAAGACTATGGAACGACCTAATAATAAGATTCTCTGTAGAAAACTAAGGTTTGAGCCAATATGCATTGTAGATACACATCATCACCATGGAGGCAACTCTAATCACTTTTCCGATATTTCTCAAGTACTAGATTTTAGGCTTTTGGCATATTTGACTAGCACACAATCTGCATAAATGATTACAAACTCACTCAAGCATGCATTGATATGAAAACGTAAGCACTAAATGTATGCACAAAATTGGCGCTGCAGAAGCAAGGAATTCGCCCTCACAATTTATTCAAGTGCACCTCAACAATGCAAGATCGCTTTTGGTCGGCATTCAAACCTTTTTCTACCACTCGACGCGCTATTTATTTCCATGGCGAGGATGGGAGTTGCTCAGTGATGGAGAACCATGGAAGTGCAACGGTGAACGTATAGGTACGTTTGATCGATTTCCAAGTTTCTCTCGACCATTCTGACTGAATGGAAACTCGAAAGTAAAGTCGTAAGACAATAGATCACCTGCCTTTAAGTGTATTGTTATTCTTAAGATATCTTCAATTACCAACCTTGTTGGCACAAAGAAATCAAACGCGTCCTATTATCCCAATGTGAATATAACCAAATAGTCGCATTCATTAAAATCAACAATCACAATTTATTTGTTAGGATCTACTTCTAGAACTCTGGAACACTTTCATGCTGAAATAAGCTATTTAATCCATGTTTTGATCCTTCATATAAAATACTCTATTGGCATTGCTTTATTTTCGAAGTGCAAACTTTAGAAGAGTTCAAAAAAAACCTGAAAAGTATTCTTTGAAAATGTCATTTACCCTTCCTACTGAGTTTATTCCAAAAGTATCCGTACATATAACGCAAGTTAGGCTTAACAGCGCTAGTCCGAATTGCTGCTAATGCCTAAGATAAACAAGGTTTTTTAAGCATTCATCTTCCTGAGGAGCGTAGAAGAGCTGTGGTTAGCGGTAACTTGCGATTCTAACACTTTTATTCGTTGGTTGTACAACAACCGTTAATTGCTAGTGGTGAAGACTTAGAAACGCTCTAAAAGAATTGTCCAAGGATTTAGGAAAGATTGGCTTCAGCAGCACTAATAGACATTCATGTCGAAAACGAAATCCTCGATTAGCAGCTGAAACCCTTCGCAGGCAATTGGCTGTTGGATTGAAAATCAAAAATATGCGCAGTACGAGAGTTCTGTTCATGTGAATAACTACAATTAGATATCTGCTGAATAGAACAGGTTCACTTGATCAGAATTATGCGCAAATTGAGCTTTTTGTGAAGGGTCGAAACGGCGCTTATATAACGGAAAAGTACCCAGGGATAACATATAATTACAACAATACATTGCAAATAATGTGTCCACTTGAGGAACCTGCACACGCTTACTGTTCGATCTCGCTAATTTGAATGAGTAGTAAATTGTGATAGCAGAGAGACATTATAAACAAAAGTATTTCGCGTTGATTAGTCTCTGAGGGGTATCCTATGCATTCGACTTTATTAAGCATTGTTAGAGATGAATACATATTTGGCCTATAATAATGACTTACGATGCTCCACCAGTGCATCACTTGACTGTTGCTATTCTACATCTGTAGCAAGCTGACTATTCAGGAGGACTAGAAGGTTTGCTGAACCCAAGACGTGGAAGGCCTTAAGTGAAATCTCTGTATCACTATCAGGCCTGGTAATTAGAGATTTAGGCAAGACGGTGCCATCAAAGTTCTTACTTTCACATTTACATTGTTAACAGGGCCCAATGAGCGTGTGACACATTAGTTAGTAGTGCTCTGCTAACCACGTATTCGTTGGTTCGATCTCGAGTCCTAGGCTCACTAAAACTTCCATGACTCTGA